AGATGCTCTGCTGCCCTGTTCCCGTTACTTTGTTTCCCTGCACTGTCAAAACAAGGGCATTACTCAACCCTGCTACAACCTTGTCCCACTGGCCCGAGCCATGCCACAGAGGTCTGCTCCACAGGGACCTCTGCAGAGGTCATCTCCCCACCACGCCACTGTTTGGTTGTCTCCGGGCTTCTCCCATGACAAATGAACCCCATGACAAACACCTGGATAAGTATATATGAAAATATACTGTCGTTTCAAACCCATGTGGCAATAAGCCACACCAGGCAAAGTGGCCCGATGCATGTATAATGTCAAAGGGAATACTTGTGGGGACATGAGAAACAGGAACTGACTCCAATCCCATGTCTTAGCCATGCAACTCGCAAGCATAAGCTGAAACTGCCACAGGTGCCAATTTTGTATTCATGAAAAAAAAGAGTTATTTTATTATATTGCAGATGTTCTCTTTGGAGGGAACACATTCGCTTATCTTTTTTAGGCTTAAATATTTTCTTGCACATGACTGAGAGTTCTACTGCTCTGTATAGAGAAAACAGGCTTATTCAACGGGTGAAGGAGGAAAGTATACAGAAAGGAAAACCCAGCTCACTCATTTTCAGTGATATATCTGAATCTGAACAACAGAGTACTATGTACAGTACAATGGTATTCCCCTTTTGAAATGGATTGTATGCTGGTAATACTCAGCATTTGCATACTGCTTTCATTTTGAAAGCACATAACAAATGTAAGTGAATCCTAACCAACACGCTTTAAAATATATAATCCTTACTATCTTTGCTGTCATATGCTGAAGTGGTGGAAGGGAGTTTAAATTACTTAACAAAGCTATATATTGTATGTGTCAGACTCCTGCTGTTCTTGTTGACCATTGCTTCTGCCCGTCACTTAACTATGTATGTGACTATTGCAACCACATCACAAAATCACGTTCATGGCATTGCTCCAACAGCTAGAGTGAAAGTCCAAATTCTAGGGGAAGCTGCTTAAAAGATAAAACCTTCTAGTCCTTTCATGGCTGATATTCTTGAGTAAGGATTACAGAATGGGAACCTTATTTATTGGCAATATCCCAATTCTCTCAAAGTATTTTCTGAATATTTCTCCTAATTAAGGCAAAGGCTATTTTCACTGAATAAAAAGAGAGCTTAATTATAGGTTATTCATAATACTGTTGCTTCATTTACATCTTAGGAAACCATGAGAACTAAAAGTTGTTTTCTAAATATCTGGACAAATCCCCTGATCACATTTGTAAGCCTACCAGTTTTTTGAGACTGATCCCAAAAGTAAAGGTCTTCACTAGTAGAAAGCAGTATAACTGCACGGCAACAGTCAGAAAAGAAACTGTAAGAATCCCATTTATTACACAGTACTACCTCCATCCAGAGGCATGATCCCCTGGTATGACGTTTGCAGTCATACCACCAGCTTCATCAGTCTGCAGACATACCTCTGGCTGCAAGATCAGACCTTGAAGACTGGTCCTGAAGAATGGGACTGCTCTAACTCCAATTAAAGCAAACAGAGAGGGGAACGTTCAAACCCTTGCATTTAATTTCTACTGTGCAGAAGGCAGCAAGACAATTAGGATGTATCTTTGCAGCTAAATTGTGCCCTCAGCTGCACCTATGAGTCCCTTGGCTCCCAGGGCATATTTTAACTGAAGAACTGAAAAAGTTCAAAAGCTGCATGCTAAAAATATAAAATTAGCTACTTGCTTTTCTCTCTCTCAGCAAAATACTTCCAAAATACAGATAATGATCCAACAATGTGACCACTCTTTAAAAAATATTTTTCTATTTCAGTTCTGAAAAATTCAAATTCAGCCTGTTTTGCTTTTCAGAAAAGTTCTCCCATCCTTTTCCTCAAAATTATTTTTGGGTATAAGCAAACACAGACTGCACATACACCAGACTGGCTACCTGGTGTCCTATTTGCAGTGTGTAAACAGTAGACAAGAGGAATACCCTGCTGAGAAGGACTCGTAGAGTCTATGAAATCCTGCCGGGGAGCAGGGAAATCTGCTGTACAGCACATTGTTTCCTGCAGTTTCTTGCAGTGAAGAGCTCAAAAATCTGTCAAAACACTCTGCCCTTCGTGACTTTGCTCACTGAGATGCACTTACTGTGCAGCCACTCATATTTAGATGTGAGCACTAATGTATCTATCTCATGAAGAAAGTCTCTACCAAAAAAATTGTTCATTAAATATTAGATATGGAATAACCTCCATACCCAAAGACTATGCATACACACATGTATCGACATGTTGGTAAAAAGCCTCATTAAAAATTACATATAATATCAGTTTTAACCTAAATCATTTGTTCAAGACAATTCAGTGACAAGTGATACCAAAACCTAGCTTTGCTAAACAGGTGCAGACATCTGCAGATTTAGCTCACAGTACAACTGTCAGTGTTGAAAGGGTGGAATCATATTTACTTTACAATGTACACCTTACAGTCATGAAAACCCACAATTTTCCATCTTCAAAAGCCCAGCACTAATCTTCCTAAGGGAAACTTAAAGTGTTTCCCATTCCTCACTGTTTTGGATTATACATTATCTCACATGACTTAGAAACCATCCAGAAAAGTCTCTCTCTTTTTTTTTTTTTTTCCAAATTGGCAAAGCCAATTTCTCTCTGCAAACTGCTATTAATCTTTGTCTAGACAAATATTCAGCTGTAAAGACTGGAAGGTGAAATGAGAGCATGAAGTAGAAGGATGTCCTGGAAGGTCATAGGGCACACATTTCTAGGAAATGACATGAGATCAAATCAAGAAATGAAATGCTTGTGGATAGGGAAAATTGACTAAGGTGGACATCACCTTTTGCCTTCTGATTAAGCAAAGATCACAGGATCAATCCTGTAAACACTTGTATGCCCATCAGTGTTGATTTATGCCTGTTTCTGTCTTGGCACATACACCCATGGATGTATACACATACATTCATTCATATACATACATATATAAAACATATACATAGCATCAGTTAGGTATCTTTTTCTTATCCTGATTATTTGTGCTCTTAAGAAATTACTTAGTATTAAATGATTATAATAACTCGTATCAAGAGAACACAAGAAATCAATATAATATAGCATCAGTCTGTGACAAGAGTGGTATTTTAGAAATAACAGACTACTCAAAAAGCACTATTTCCAGGCAATAAATAAAAGATCTTAAATATTACTAACGACTATGAACAAAATTAACTGTAAAATGAAAACACTTGCAATAAGGTCCCTATTTTAATATGGGAGAGGAGTAGGGTAAGTTTATTCCATTACCGGGAGAAGATAAAATATCTAATCTTAATGCAAGCTGATGTATAATGCAAGTCTATGTATTAAAACAGGAAATTTAAATAGTTTTGTACCCACACTGTATCTGCAGAATGCCCACAGCTCTTGAATCAGTGAAGAGTCCCACTGATGTCGAGCAGGACTGCTCCTACGCTGTATTCTGTGCTTAAAATTAAATTCTTTATTTAAAATTAATAATAGCTTTACCACATAAATTAATGGAACAAAAAACAAGTTTATATTTTCTTTCTTTGAGCCAATTTTGTTACACTTCTAGTAAAAATATGACCTGGCTTCTTTTTGATTTCCGTGATAGATCAACTTCTTAAATACTATGGTAATTTTCTGCTTTTGCGTTCACCAGGTTAAGTCTGATTTGATTCCATTGAAGTTCGTTTCTGAGAGGAGTTTGTCCCTGAGCATTAACGTTCCTATTTTTATTTCTCAACACAGCATCGATCAGAATACAAAAGGATGAATGAATTGCAATTAGAAATAAAGAATATATAATGGAAAAATATATTAAAAGAAAACTGTCGAGTTCCTCTACAGTCAGGAAAACAATGTATGTATATGATTTTCAAAACCTGAATATTTACTCTTGATCCTCAAGTTGTTTAGAAAGAACTCCTATTGAGTTCTATATGAGCAGGCATCTACTTTCCTCATGAATGCTATAGATTTGCTCCTAGCATTTCACTGCAGTGGGCAGTGGGAAAAAAAAAAAATCAATATCAAGTCCTGATCTTCTAGTCCACAACACATTCTGATTCTTAATCACTACCATTACACTGCATGTAAAATCTGGCACAGCAGGAGAATGTTTAATCTAGACACAGTTCCTCTTCCTCTCCCCTTCCATGAAGATTTTTATTACACTTTGTAAAACATTTTTACTACAACATCTAAATTTGGAAGTTAAACTACCTAAAGATGCCTTTTCAACTTTGTTTATGAAAAAACTCCTGGTTAAAAGGTGTGTAGATTGATTTGGGGTTTTTTTTGTCAGAAATTAATTAAAGATAAATTAATTTTGTTCCTCTACAAAATTGTCTTATTCAAGGTGATTAATGAGAAGGGAGAAAAAAATCAAAACAAATGCTCCTAGCATTACGTACTACGTAACACTTCCAAACGTCCAAACACTTCTACGTTGATGATCTCAGAAACGAAATCCTGCTCACATCACTAATGCAGAAGGTTCCACTGACTTCTGACAGACTATTTTTATAACTGAGGCAAAGAGGATTTTGTTAGACAATAGGATAAACTTTCATTAAACAATATTAACAAATAAACTGTCCCAGGTGATTAGAATACATTAATATTTAACTACTTATTAGACGCTCTCTCCCATATACAAATGACCTGAAAGAGAATATTGCAGGCATTCAAAAAGTTTCCGAGATACAATTGTACCAAACAATTTTATTAATACTTCACCCGATTTTTTAAGTCGATACTGGCTAATATTTTGATGTTGCTGAAGGCAAACCAAAGTCATAAACAATGGTTTTCTTTGTTTTACATTGGACTGGATGTTAAAAGTAACTATTTTTATTATAAACTAATCTAAAATAGTAATGATCGAAGCAGGGTAAAAGCAATACATTTTGTTTTCTTTACTTTATTTCAAAATAGATTGATTTTAAATACATTCTTGTTATATTTTCTTCCCACTTCTTTGGATGCAACCAAAAAAAAAAAAACTCACTGTGCTCATTTCATACAATATCAATGTACAAATCATGCAAAAGATATTATAGATATTATACCACGATCAAGTTCTGGGTGTGTTTTGTTAACTCCGAAACATTTGTTAACAGTATTCACAAGGCCATGCTGTTCATAATTTATACTGTCCTTATGGCTTTTTTCAAAAAAAAAAAATCATGGTAAAAAAAGATTTTGTAATATTAGATTTCAAATGTATTTCCTGTTAATCTGGAACACTAAACGTAAGATGTAAATTGTCTACTGGCCTTGCGTTCTGGCACCATAATAGTTGCTTTCTGACAAAACTGCACAAATTTTTTCTTTTTCAAGGAAATGATTATACTTTATTGATTTCATTTTTAAAAATGTAAACTTCTTTATAATACAATGAACACAACAGATTATGTTAACACCTTCACTGATTTAGTTCATGTCTATGGGTCTTAACAGCCATTTTACAAGCATGGCCACTCAAATCAATATAACGAGCAGGAAGGTCTGTCTGTTGAGCCACATCAAAGAGTCACTTTTCCAGATGATAGACTCACCGTAGATTTGAATGGACATCACATTAAAACTGCTGTATAGACACATACACTGTCTCAAAACATGGAGGAAATAAATTGACATTAAGGTTGTCATTCAAAGTAACAATATTACAGAAATAGTGTTTTGCCAGCTTCTGCATTCTTTACTCACATTATTAGGCCTACATATTGCACCATACATGTAAAACACTACGGAACAATTTCTATGGGAAGGTCCAGGCTGTGCAACCTTTATTGATGCTGGTGAACCTACACTCAACTGCATAATCCCAAAAGAGTCACTGGACAACTCACGGGAGAAAAGCAATCACTGGTGTGTGGTTAGACAACTGGGCTCTATGGATTATTATTACACATAGTAACGTTTCTGTGCCTGCTCCTTTTGAAGCCAACGACAAAGCCTCACCAAAGAGCCTCTCTTGAGCAAGTATTTCATTTTAAGCTCATGACTAATACCATGGCATATGATTAGGTTAAGCTGAAACGCTCTACCAGTTTAGGACCTCAATGAGCAGGAAAATCTGACCCGACATAGGTATAACAGTACAGTTCTTCCTCTCTTAATCAGCAAATAGAAGACTTCACCACAAGAAGAGAGGAAAACAAACTCAATTTGTCTAGCTGAGGAAGGTACGGTCGCTTGCCAACTGTTCTTTTAACTCAGGGCAACACCAATCATAAGCACATAAGTTTTAACATCACCTCAGACTCTTAGTTTATTTGCTCTTTTGATATGCTTTTTTAACACTGCCTCTCACCAGAAGGGCATGGGACACAGCACGACAGCTTGTGACAGTGTGCCGAAGGGTGTCACAAGCTTCATGCCTTGGCAAATCCCAGTGCACCTCGGCACATCCCCAAAGCCTGCAGCCAGGGCAGAGTGGGGGCGAGCGACCCCATGTGCCCCAGCTGCCTGCGGAGCCGCGACAGGACATCACGGCCGGGTACCTTCAGCACCCCTTAAGCCACAGATTCCTGAAACAATAAGCTCAAATGCTCTCTTTAAAGCCTTGGCAATGTATTGCATCAACGGGCAGCTAGGAACTTTCTATGCCAAAATGCACATATGCATAGTAACCATCTCCTGAAAATCCCTATGACATTTTGAATTAAGTAAATTATTGTGCATGGATAACAGCAGCTTTTTGAAAGATAAAAGCCATTTATTTTTTATCACTTTATTATCTGAAGTCATTTATATACTTTGTGTTATGGAGAAAATAATAAAACAACCCTCTTTCCAGGTTACAAGAGCATAAATAAATGTGTCTGAAAGTAGAAAATGTCTTTTTGTTTTCACTTTCTTTTAAATAAAGAAGCTCCGATTTTTTTTTTAAGTTTGTTAAAAAATATACTCCAGCCTGTTTGCCAAGTATCAGTTCAGAATAAACATTTTACAGCAGTGTCATAAAGCCCTGAAATTAGAGGTTTGCAATGGCAAAAGCTGATACAGCCTTCCCCACAGCAGTGTGGGTCTTGCTGTAATATTGGCTAGTTTCAAATTCATGAAAAACATTCATGCTTATTCCCTACTAATCCTAATTGATTTATTTATTGATTATAGAAGATGGATAGAAAAAAGGATCTGGAAGTAAAGGCGACAGAGGGTCTTATCCAAAACTCATTGAAATGAATGGAAAAATTCCTGTTCACATCAATGAACTTATGTTAAATCTCATAGTATAGATTTTCTGTATGATACTTTACCAGTACATCTCTACTCTCATCTGAAGCTACCATCTATCTGCGAGATAAAGTGGGTATTTTCCATTCTCCCAACTACTTTTTTTTCCCTAGCTATTCAGAATCAGCTTTCACAAAGGCAAGTTTTTACTCCCTATAGATATGAACTACACAATACTCTGAACTGAACTGAGACCACTATATTCATTTTACAGAGTGGTTTTAAATAGATGTGATTTGCCATATGGTTTACTGTTCTGACAGATTTTCTGACTGAGAGCAGTCAGACAGATAGTAAGAACAGAAATTGATGCATATATAATTAAAATACTACCCTTTACCATGAATTCCTGTAAATACTTGTAGCGAAAACTATTTAGATTAAGCTGTAGAACCCTGAAAAGCAAGACAACTGATGGCAAGTAATTGCCTGAGACACAATACTAAAAATCTAACGAATCTATTTTAAAATGCACCATTGGTAACAAATCTGAAATAAGATCATATGCTAATTTCACAAGAATAATACAGAACAATTTTATTATTATTATACCTGATCACTTAATTCTGGATAATTCTATACATCACATCCCCAGTTTCTGTTTGGTATATTGTTCTGTTTTTATTTATATTGAATGATTAATGCATTGTGATCAGGGAAACAAGTCAAGCATATTAAATACATATTAAGGAGTACATATTTTCCTACTTAGTATACAAAGTATTTCATAAATATGAATTATATTACAAAAATAGTTTCTGCTACGCTCACACAGTAAGCACTTTGACAATTTTGGACAACCTGTTAGGGTTGCAAGTGTTCCATGTAACTGAGAAGGAACTCTAGTTTTAATTGGAGATGAGTCTTACAACAGATTCTGCATAAACATCAAATATTTTCTTCAGATCACCACAAATGCCGCAGAAGCAAAGTTGGGTTTTTTTTTTTTTTAAATTTTATGTATAGACAGGTATGTTTCAAGTGGTCAAATTTATTTCATCGGTATGTAATGCATGGTATATTTTAAACAAATATTTGCACAATTTAACATTATAATTCCAGTGGTTTCAAGATGCAGGCCATAAATGTAACCAATTTACACATACTATCGAATGTTCTCTCTTTGCATGCTTGTTACTTTTCAGATAATCTTTAAACAGTGCCATTACAACACCATAAATCAAAGGATTACTCCAGTTCCACCAACTTAAATCCACGTGCAGGATGAAGGACCCAGCTGAGGTACAAACATCAGTACCAGGTTTCTTGTGTTTGCTCTAACAAATCACAAGGAGACGAAGGTTTAGCATTTAAGGTACAAAACATATATGCCTCTTGAGGTTAAATTCAGTGTAACGTGTATAAAGCATCCCTTTGGCAATAGAGTTTGCAGTATCCCTACAAGATTCCACAGGGCACGAGCTTTATGTAGTAAAACCTATTAAAGAATTTCTCCTCTACTTGACAAATCATATGCAGCTACAGTTAATCAGATACCCTTGGATACACCTGCCTCTATGCCTATCAATATAATATAGTATTTGGAAGTTAAAAGTCAACAAAAGGCACTTTCATCATTAAATAAATGTCCTCTGTAGGCAATAAGATTGCATGACCTATATTTTATTCAATGCTGTTTGTTCTTCAAGGACTTGAAGGTAGTCAGGTGAACCCTGAAGTTTAGCTTTTAGTTCAAAATATTCACTCTTTCTTTGTTCCACTACAATTTTACTATGATTACCACCTATTAGAGATTTCTTAGTTTTTTTGTCTTGTTGTTTCTCTGGGTAACGTATTTCAAAGCCACTGACCCCTATGCTGTTGTATTCTTTTTTACTCTCGAGAAAATTCTGAATAAATACATTGGAATCCCTCCCAGGGAATAATTCATCCAGTTCATCAATTGTGCTAAGTCTTTTTCTGGTATCCACATGCAATAAATCTTTCTCCTTGTCATTAATATTTCTCAGAATTACTTTTTGCCCTGGCGGATCGGCAAATGTGAAGCCCGTTTCAGACTCCTTTAAGCCACAGGTATGACTTTTGCTCATCTGCTCAATGGTTTGAGGAATGAAGGCCTCCGCACCTAGTCCGTCTTTTTTGTTTGATTTGTGATCATGCTTTCTTAGCTGCAGTTGCATAGAACTGCATTCTTGGTTTCCAATCCCTTCATGCTTTACAGTCGGTTTTTTGTTGCGCCGAAGCACAAAAACAAGAAGACAAAAAGCAACAAACACTGTTAAAATAAGCACAACTAATATGCTTAAAATCAGGATGGACAGTGGAACTGGGCCCCCAGGAGGACTCCGAACTGGTCCCAGCGGTGTTGTAAAAGTGACAGCAGGCACAGGACTAGAGAACAGAGCAGATGGCTTGTTTAAGAGTTTAGGACAGAGGATCTCATTTTTCAGAGACTTCAGTTCAATATTAGCAAACTGTACAGGTGTTTCACATTTCAACTCCTTCACCACAATACCTTCATTTAGTTTTTCAAGCCACAGCTTTAAAGCAACTAAATCACACGTGCAGTCCCATGGATTACCTTCCAAATCAATTTGTGTCAGAGATTTTAGCTGATCAAGAACGCCACTTACAGGTAAATACATGAAATGATTGTTCCTCAGATTCAGTCTAGCAAGCGGTGCACCAGTAAAAATGTACGCTGGCAAGCTTCGCAGGAGATTGTTGTTCAGGTAGAGCAACTGCAAATTTGGCATTAAGTCAAAAGTGCCTGCTAAGATTTCTTTGATAACATTGTATTCCAAATACAGATATTGCAAATTGTGGAGGCCAGCAAACATTTCTGGGCTCAGACGCTCTATCTGATTGCCATTGAGATACAATCTCCGTAAATTTGTAAGGTTGCGGAAAACTTCTGCTTTGATTACTGAAATCCGATTGCTGCCTAAATGTAGTAAATCCAGCCCCTCGAACTCAGTGAAATCTGTGGTGTCCACATCCTTAATATAATTGCCATTTACATGCAGTTTCTTGGCGTTTAAGGGCTTTGGTACGAGCTCGGCCATTGACTCTATATTTCTTTCCTGGCAATTTACACTTAATCCCAGGTCAGAAGGATGTGTTTTGCAAACACAGGGGACTGGACAAGGCGTTAGAGGAGGCACCCTCGTCTGATAAGATACAATTTGACTGAGATTGCGATTAGATAGCGCTTTGCCTGCTACTATCCCCGAGATCTTAGAAGGATTTGTAGTTTTTGGAGGCTTTGTGACTAATCTGTGCATTGATGTCTGCGTAGTGTGGCCATTAGGTATGCTGTAGCCGGGCTCCAGCTGTGAGGGAGGCAGAACGCGCACGTCGAAGTCGCTCCCCGTCCCCATGGAGCACAGCTCTTGCTTGTTGGTTTCTTTCAACAGCCTTCCATACAAGTCACTAGGTGTCTCACAGATAGCTTCGCCAATGTAGATGTTATAAGGCATGTTCTCCAGCCACGCTTTCAAAGGCAACAAATCACAAGTACAATTCCAAGGGTTGTCTTCCAGCTGCAATTCGACAATTCGCCCAATGTGTTCCAGAACTCCAATGTATGGAAGCTTCTGTATTCGATTCCCTCGTATATCCAGATGGGTTAGAGAAGCAAATCGAAAAATATTATCAGGAAGGAATGAAATCAGATTGTCATTAAGGATGAGGACTTTCAGCTTGTGAAGCTTATTGAAGGCTCCCCGTTCAATAAACTTGATTAAATTGTAGTCAGCTTGGAGATACTCCAAGTTCTCTATGCCAAGGAAGGTATCAGCTCGGAGAATCTTTAATTCATTGTTATTCAAGTGCAACTGCTTTAATGCACTAAGACCCAGGAATGCTCCTCCCTCAATGTTCTGTAATTTATTATTACCCAGTTGCAAGGACACTGCATGTGTAAAATTAAGAAAGGTATTTGGATATAGAACAATTAGCAAGTTGTTTTGAAAGTTGAGGTGGTAAAAATTAGACCACGGTGGTTTAAGCTGATTTGGTCGGTAGACTGCAACCTTCTCACAGTTGACATAGAGTACATTCTCAACTGACACACAGGAGCAAACATTGCAAATTTCCACAGATATATCAGCATCTGCAGTTGTAGAAGAAACTGGAGATGACAGAACCAGAAAGAGCCACAGAAACATCTTCTTGCGATCAGCAAGCAACCTTAGGCTCCTGAACAAAGATAAAGAATCTAAAGAAGAAAGAAGGAAAGAAAAAAGAAAATGTTTTTCAGTTGTCATTGTTCCAAAAAGTCTTTGGGTTAAAAACTGTACTCCACTGAGCTACTGTACCTGCCAAGGATTATAGATAAACTACAAGCACTGAATTTCAAACAACATGAAGGGTTTTAGCAACCCAAACAAATACACGGGAGCTAGAATTTCAAATATGGAATGCAGATCTCTGTAGACAAACACAAATAACTTTGTAAGGTCTATCAAATATATTTCTCCTTCTCACACATGTCAAACATGCATAACTAACAAAGTAAAGTAACCAAAGGAGACTACAATTTTACGCACATTTACTCTCCTCAGTCCTGCACTGCTCACATGTTGCCGTGCATTTCAGGAATGTTAAACAAAAAGGCTGACGTTATGCATGCCCAAAAATCTGAGTTGGGATAGCACAATATAGAAAGGATGAAGCTGCTGGCACAAAAAGCAGTGCCCACATTCAATGTATATTTATCTATAGCATCGACGCATACAGCTACCACTACGTTAATATTGAGATTCACTCAAGGGATACATAGGCATGCACGCACGTTTTTTGTCACTTATTTTATCTAGTTTAAGTAAATATGTGGTAAATTGATCACAGAGATACAATGACCTATCCATAAATTGAGACGATCAGCTCTAGGGAACCAATGGAGGCACACAGATGTGGAAGAAGCATGCACAGGCATACAGTCCCATCCCTAGGAATAACAACAACACCCTGACTTACAGGGCGAAACAAAGTCACAATTCACCCGCCTGACACTACTGAAACCTGAGAAGAACAACTTTTTTTTTTTTTAAAAAAGAGAAGCTTATATAATTTGCTCTCATCCTTGCACTGATACAGAGGTGGCTTTCAAGAGCCCTTCGCACACAGCCAGGCCAGCTGAGCTGCCAGTTTTCAGTCAGAAAAACTGAAGCCACAGGATTTCCTCCGAGTTACAGCCTGTTTTTTCCCCTCAACAAGCCAGTCAATAATCAGTTGCTTCCACCCACCTTCCCCATTCCCCCGCTTCCCAACTTGCCCCTTTCCTTTCATATTGTGGGAAGCAACCGAGTTGGAAGGAGGGAGCCGGGATGCAAGTGCAGGAAGCTGGAGCCAGCTGGAAGGAGGCGAATCGGGCTGGAGGGAGCCGCGAGGAGGGGAGGATGAGCCGGGGGACCTGGGAAGGAGGGCAAGGGAGGAAGGAAGGGAGGACAGGAGGACGAGAGGGAAGGAGGGAGGCGCTGGGAAGAGGGAAGGAAGGGAGAGGGGAAGGGGGGCGGAAGGGGTCGAG